AGAAGTCCATTTACAACCATCCTCAAAACCAACCTCAAACATCCCATTTCATCCTAGCATCATAATACAGCAGGATAACAGGACTATCTCAAAAGGCAAAAAAAGTAAGCAATGTCATTCTGATCAGTCCAGTTGCTGCAGCATTTCTTGCACAATCATAATCAGTCAATCAAGCAGAGAATAAACATCTGGGATCTGTCTTTTACCTGGACATCGGATCTATTAACCATGCACTTTTAATAATGTTTCCTTAAAGAACTTTGTAGAAATAAATGGGGCTTAAATCATTAAAGTTACGTCAGACACCATTTACCTAAAAATTTCTCTCTGTTGAGGATTACCAAAACAAAGCTATGGATTCTTGATCAGTCTCCTCTTTGCCCAAACCTCCAAAAGACCCAAAGACTGCCAAAATAAAACAAAGTCATTACAGAACAGATGCTTCCAATATTTCAAGACTTATTTGAACAACTTACAAGTTCTGGTTAACTGGCTTCTAATTTTACAGTGTTTTATATAGGATCCAAGACCTTGTTAGATAGTGCACATTAAGTATTCACATATAGTATGTACTTTACACACAGTATGTCACCTACTCAATCACTATGCTCTAGCATCGACAGTAGTAAAGCAGCACCTGACGTGTATTAGAGCAGCCATAATCTTTAAAACATTTAAAATAGTGATAGGGAAATGTTAATGGTTCTTCTTCAGCTTTCTGCACGTAAATCTCTCTGCTCTAGCCCATTATCAGTTGACCAGTTCAGGTTTCACTGGGCGTTTTCTTCAGTGTGATACTGACTACACGCAGAGCTGAGATCACAGAGGTTGAGATCATCTGTGGTAAGGGCAAGAATGTCAGTCCCAACCCCAGTGAAGTCAGAACACACACATCCACACACACAGTGACTCTTACTTGGGAAATACAGGGAGATTCTTGATTACAGATTAACAAACCCTTAGTCTACTCAAATTAAAAAACAAAAACAAAAAAAAACACCCCCAAACCCAACACACCCAGCCCCAGCAATGCACTTCCACTCCATTTCTCACCACTGCAACTCACTTGAACATCTTCAGCTGTTTGAATTAAAAATCTGCTATTGAATCACTCTCATCTGCTATGCACACATTTACCAAAGACTGTCAGCCCCAAATAAAGTTTTAGAAGTTGGGCAGGTGTTGGATTCCTACAAAAATGGGATTCTAGAGCACCATGCTATAACAGTGTGACAGGAAGGAGGACCTTTTTCACATAGACATTTTGCTTGAGGCTATAAACACTATAGGAGCAGGCTATAAGCTATGAAGATCATTATTTAAAACTATTTCACCTTTGAACAGAGCTGATACATGTATTTGCTTCTCCAGCAAGTCTCAAATCTCACCACAACGTGAACGGGCACTCCAAACAGTAGTTCCCAAAGATACAGTGAAGGTCTATCAAGAAGAGTGTCTGGGTTGCCTTCTATACAAACCTGGAGAGTAAGAGAGCTTCCAACAGCTGCAGAGCCCCAACCGTTTTCCATATGCAGCCGTGGGAGTTGTCCATTAACGTGAATGAGAGAAGATTGAAGAGAACACACATGGCACACTTTTTCACACAAAACTCTTAATAGAAAAGGGAAGTTTCTGCATTTTGTCACTTTTCAAGGAAATCTGATATTTAACACCACCTGCACGCAATGAGTATCCAAATGAAGAAGTCATAAAGAGCCAGCTGCCCTTTATTTAAAATGCCCTTGGCAAAAAACTTGCCATACATTGTTTTGAGAGAATCAGAACCATCAGGAATCCCACAGCCACAGAATTCAACATCATCTCCAGAACCATAAGCATCAGTAAAGCCTGAGCATCACGGCGAGAAGAACCACACTTGTACTGAAAATGAGGTCGAGAATACTGCACAGTTACAATCACAGAGACTAGAATTTCAAAGACACACTTTCTTGCAATAGAACAAGCTTGAATTTTAAAAAATACAATCATTATGTACAGCAAAATATGTGGCCATAAGACCAGCCTTAAACCAAGGCCTTGTTTACACAATTTCTGCACTGCCAGGAAGTATTTTGGCTGGGAATGTAATTTTTCTTCCAAATCCATTAAATATTTGCAATTCTCACTGTGAAGAGAGCTATATACCATCTTTGTACTGACACGGGTATAACATATTCCCACAGGGAAAAGGACTAAAAGAGTACCTTTATATTGATACAACATTTTCCTCAAGTGTAGAAGCTAATATAGCTTTCATTATTCAGTCAAGTTTAAGCAGTATGACTTTTTTCTACCTTATAGACAAGGCCTATGTTTAACAAGCACCAAAACACTTCAGAGTATTTGGAAGATCAGACTACCGAGCTCTATTTTTTGTACAGTCCTCACCAAGTCATAGAGAACACTGAACATCTAAATACACTCAAAACTCTGACTAGACCCATGCCATGGTTTCTTAAATCCTTCACTGTTTAATGAACACACCTTTTTGGCAAGAACTAGAGTGTATCTACAAAAAAGCTCAGCACGATCCAGAACTTACTAGGCTGCCTTCAGCTGCTCTGCTAGACTGAGAAAAACTGGACTTTATGTGCCGCTGTGTGCTGCAAACACCCATTTCTGCATCATTCCTCAATCACAACACGGGCAGTAGGGAAACAGGAGGCACTAGAAAACATGAAGAATCTGCTGTCTGTTGGGGAGAACAGAATAAATACCATTTTTTATGAAGCGGAACAAGCTGCTTTCAATACACTCATCTAGAGCAAGGCCTGTTGGGTGCTAAACACTGTATAATCCCATTAAATTTAAGGCAAAATTGAACAATAGCAATAGCTGAGATGTAAATTTATGCCATTTTTTTTAAGCTTTAGACATTAAATTTTTTGAACTGCAGACATGGAGGCAGTCCAGCTTTCTTAGTTTCAACACAGTATTTTTGTTAAAAGAAACCCCTATTATTAATAAGCATTATTCCCCTGCCCTTCTAACATGGAAGTCCTTGAGCAGCTGGCTTCCAATTCATTTTTAGAAACTTCTGGAAGGTAAGCTGCAAAGGTTTTCAGTTTTCACTTAAAAATGGGGGGCTGCATCAAGCTGTCTGTTACACGAAGGCCCCAAGCAGAAGCTGAGGGACCGTCACTAGGATTGCCTTCTCTGACCCTCTTTGTTTTTAACTGTGACTGTATCGGTCTGACCAATACAACCCTACTGACTGTATCAGAACAGGTCCTCACTGTCTTGAAAGATACATGTGAGCTCAGGAGACAATTCATGTTCAGTACTTAATAATCTCTTCCAAATTTTCAGCAGATACTGGATGTTGCTAAAATAAATATCCAATTTTCAACTAAACCACAAGATTATAATTTTAATTTCAATCACTAGGATTTCAATACATAGATTCAAACTAATACTAAACACTCTTCTTCCAGAGCTGAAGAAGAAAGTTTACCTACTTAAAATAGAATAATTACCAGATTCACAGTAGGAATCATGGCAGTTAGTTTTCAGTTGGCCTGATTAAAAACTTCTTCACATATCATTGCAGAACTTTTGCTTCTATGTGGCAAAAGAATTTCAAATCTTCTTGGGATATGGGGGGAGAAGAGTTGCAAGTTTTGCGTGCTAATCTTTAAAGAAATAAGTAAGATAGAAAGATAATGGAGGTAAACAAATTCCCTAGCTCTTCCAAATGACAGAAGGTACAGGTCACCTCAACCCCTCTGCAAACCAGGAAAGAAATAATGGTCTGGTGCATAATTTTAAAGAGTTATAATGCAATGAGATTAAAAGCTTGAATTTTATAAGTAATCAACCTTTAGTATTTTACCCCAATAAATCATGCTGTTCCCAGTAAGGAATAAGGGCCTAATCTTTCAAGGCCTTTTGCATTAAAAGCAACGCTACCTTCCTAAAGCTGCCTACTGAGAACTGCGTCCCACTCACATGCTGGCATCTCACAGGGTCAGGACCTAAACACAAATGAAAACCTCTATTAAAAATGACTAAATATTAGGTAAAATAGCAACCTTGTCTTTTTTTTTTTTTTTTTTTTTTTAACACTCTCCTTAGCTAAATCGAGCCCCTCCACACCTTTCATTTCTATTAAGATATAAATCAGGATTAATAACCTATGTGAAAGTTAGTGTTTCATGTAATACATAAAAGCGCACAAAGTTGTTTTCTAAAAAACAGCATTTGTATTAAAATTCTTAAAATGGATAGACATCTCTTCAATGCGTGTCTGGAATTAAAATGACAGTTGTTAGAATTTTCTTGGTACATCACAACGATTAAGATTTCTTTCTTTGCTGGCTGGAGGTACATCTCACAAGAAAACCAAAGGGGAAGGAAAAAAAAAAAAAAAAAAAAGACCACCCCCCCAAAATCCCAAAAGGCTAAATTCTTGTAAATTTGAAGTAAATTAAGCCTGAACTTGCAAGACATGGAAATTACAGTTAAAAGGCTCAGATGGAAATAAGAAATAAATTCCACTAACAATAGGCCCTTTTGTCCTGGGTTGTTCAGTATGATTACTGCAAGGAAACTGTTAAGTAGTTTTTGGAGTAGTAGATAATGGGATTCTGTGGAGCTTTCACAGGTTGGCACCGGCTGGAACAGCTGAGTTTTGAAGGCACTCTACAGACACAGGGTTGCTGTTGGCCCTGCATCACGTATAGGAAAGTCTTTGCACTTTAGAGAGCTAGTCATCAAAATCAGTTATTGCCAACCTAAAAAGAAAAAAAAACCCTCGAGACAAACCACACCACCGCTCCCACCCGCCAAAGAAAAATTAAAATAAAAACGAAATCACACACACACGCACACCTAGAAAATTGTGCAGGTTTGTAACATTTTCACAGCTGATTTAAACCAAAACAAAACAGGAAAAACCCCAACACGCTACCACTCTCCTGCAAACTCCCATCCGATACAGCAGGTAAACAAAATAGAAAATTATTTCTCGAATCATCAGCGGACGCTTTCTGGCACCCACGCTGCACTGGCACCAGAGTTACAGTTCCCAGTTCAGATGTGCAACTCCCCCGGCCGGCCGCCCCGGCGCAGCCGCCCAGCTTTGCATAGAGATCGGCGGGGCGGCGGGGCCCGCTCCCGCCCGGCCCCCCGCGCCTGTCCCGGCGGGGCCCCGCTCCTCCGGGCGCTGCCGGCCGCAGCCCTCCTGCCCCGCGCCGGGCGGACCCCGGCGGGAGATACGCCACGACCAAGACGGGACGAAACGTACATGCCGAAAAAAGCCACGTTCCCAACACGACGATGATGATTGATGAGATTTTTTTTTTTCTTTTTTGTTTTTCTCTTTTTTTTTTTTTTTTTGGTTTTGGTTTTTTTTTTTGTTTGGTTTTTTTTTTTTGTTTTTTTTTGTTTTTCTCTCTGTGTGTCCTTCGCGGTGTGTGTACGCGCCTGGGGCCGGCGGGTGCCGCCGCCCCGCCCGGGCCGCCCAGTCGCTGCCGCCGGCTCCCCCCGCCGCTCCCGCCGGCCGTGTCCCCGCCGCCAGCCCCCGGCCCGCCGCCGCCCTCAGAGGATGGCGCAGGAGGAGCAGCACTGCTCGTCCCCGTTGGGCTGCGAGGCGTAGTTCATCTGCCTGACGATCTCCGCGAAGAGCTCGTCCACCGAGGCTTTGTTTTTGGCCGAGGTCTCCATGAAGGGGCAGCTCCACTCCTCGGCCAGGGCTTTGCCCTCCCCGAAGGAGACCTCCCGCTCGCCTTCCAGGTCCACCTTGTTGCCCACCAGGATCATAGGCACCCTCTCGTACCTCTTCACCCGGATGATCTGGTCCCGCATGGGCTTGATGTCCTGGAAGCTCTGCTGGTTCACCAGGCTGTAGACTAGGATGAAGCCCTGCCCGTTCTTGATGTAGAGGTCCCGCATGGAGGCGAACTGCTCGGTGCCCGCCGTGTCCAGGATCTCCAGCACCGACGGCGAGGAGTCCACCTCGATCTCCTTGCGGTAGAAGTCCTCGATGGTGGGGTCATACTTCTCAATGAAGGAGCCCGTCACGAACTGGACGGTGAGGGCGGACTTGCCCACGCCGCCCGAGCCCAGCACCACCACCTTGTACTCCCGCATGGCTCCCGGCGCGCCGCCTCCCCTCGCCTCCCGCTCGGGGCTGCCGCTGCCCTCCCGCCCTCACGGCGGGCGGAGAGAGGGAAGGAGGGAGCTGAGGGGAGGGGAGAGAGCGGGAGGGGCGCGCACGCCCCGCCGGGCGCTCGCTGTGGCCCGCCGGGGCGGGGGAAGGGGCGGCCGCGCCTCACGGAGCCGCGCCGGGCCAGCCCCGGGAGGGCGGGGGGGGAGGCGGGCGCTGAGGAGGAGGAGGAGGAGGAAGAGGAGGAGGAGGAAGAGGAGGAGGAAGGCTGGCACCGCCGCTACCGGCGCCCGCGGCGGGACGGCGCTACCACGGCCCGCCCCGCCCCGCCCCTCTCCCATTGGCTGCGGCGCGCCGCCGCCCGCCCCCCATTGGGCTTCCCGGCGGCGGGAGGGCGGGCGGCCGCGCGCGCAGGGCCACGCCCCGTCGCCTCCCGCCGGGGGGTCCCTCAAGAGCGGGGCGGGCAGAAGATGGCGGGGGTCCCTCAGGAGCGGAGCGGGGCGGGTAGAACATGGCGGGGTCCTCGCGCCCTGCGCGGGAGAAGGGCGGCAGGACCGGCAGCTCCAGCCCCTTTATCGGTGTGAGGCACGGCCCGGTTATCTCCTCCCCGCGGGCCCTGCCGCCCTATCGGCCCTCGCCAGGGCGGGTGCCCCGGCTGCCACCATCCCGCCCGCTGCCCCGGGGACGGGTCCCCCTTTCACCCGGGGCGGGCGGTGGGGTCCCCGGGCTGCCCCCTCGGCTCCCCGACCCCTCTCCCTCTGCCCAGCTGGCTCCTGAGGCTGACGGTGCCCGCTCCCCGCTGGGGATAAACCGTCCCCGGTGGGAACAGCTCCCTCAGCCCCAGGGCTCCTTGGGGGGCGCGGCTGGAGCCGGCTGGCCCGTAGCAAGGGCAGCCCCCCGGACTTGGGGGGCCGTGACCACAGCCCCTTCCAGCCCCCCTCAGCTTCGGCGTTCTCCCCGTCCACCTCAAGTTGGGACCAGCTGATCTTTCGGCTTGAAGATGCGGTAACTGTCAGATGTTGAGGCTGTTGGCGCTTCGTGGCCCACCAGCAGCAGTTGAGCCCGGCGGGGTTGAGTCACGGGGACTGGCTATTTGCCACTGTTTGTAGAAGTCATTCCTTGGGCTTTCAATCAATCAGATGTTCCTTTCAAGAAAATATCATTAGTTATTTTGGCACCCTCCAGTCTTTGCTTTTATATCCTACCCAATTCTTCACTGTTCTCAGTATTTATTCAAGTAGTTGTGGCATGCAGGTCCTTTCTACCACACCTTCTTGTTCACCGACCTAATTTAAACACCGTACTTGAGGAAACAGGCCGTGGTAGACAAAGAGAAAAGGGTTTGAGATAAGTTTTGTAAGCAGTATTCTGTTATTCCTGAACAGTTTTCACAGAGACTAAATTCTACTTAAATTATTTTTTCCAGAATTCACTGTGGGGATTCGCTTTACAGAATATAGCTGTGCTGCATCCCTGTGGTCATCTGGCAAGTACTGCATTTGCACTGATCCTGATGGTGAGTACTGCACCTCTGGTGATTCCCCCATCTTCAGCAGCTTCAACTAAACCCCCTCTGCTACTGCTTGTGCAATTCCCTGCAAATGAAGCCTCTCTTGAGGAACACACAAGTTGTATCACAGCAACCCTGCTGTGGAGTGGGCAACAGTTTAAACTTTCTTAAATAGATCCCCTATCTGAAGCCCGGCACTCTCTTTATTCAGTCTGTAGGTGTGGCCGTGCCCTGGACCTGTTAGTTGGGGGTCCCCGGGTGGGATGCTGCTCTGCCCGGCCTCTGCCTGATTTCTCCCGGGTGCGCAGCCTTCTCACTTGCCTGCAAAATTTGTCAGCTGTGGGCTAATCCTGAGCTAGTTCAAGGTGCTGTTCAGGTCAGTCTGGAGACTGATCAGCTTTTTTATCTTACATTGAATCCCAAGGGCTGGGCTTTGGCCTTATCTCTGTTCTCGATTCTGCCTGCAAACCACATTACCTTAACTCATGGCAAACCTGTAGGCCGTCTTTCTTCCAGAGCAGTACTACAGTTCTTTGAAAAAGTGAAAAAGACCTCTCTGAGTACTTATAACCTCCTGTTGTGTGAAGGAGTTGCCACTCAATGACTGCTCAGCTCACTCACAGATGTTGGGTTTGGCTCGCTCTGAGGCTTCTAAGTCCTTTCCCCACCTTTTCCTGTTTCTCAGTTCACTGTCCCTCTGATTCCCCCTTCCAGAAGTACCCCCGAGGCAGAGCTAGTACATCCTACCTTTGTGTAAGCCAGGCAAAACCAGTCACCAGCCAGCAAGCACTTGCAAAGTTATCTTTAAAAACAGCTATAAAAATTGGTTGAAAGGCTACAGCATCACTGTGAAAATAGTTTATTTTCTCATTCTGCTGACACACTTTGCTTACACTGCTCTAAGGTTTGGGTACAATGGGGATTTGCTTACCTCCGTAACAGCTATAGCAAACTCACATGTAAATTACTCAGATTGTGCTTTCCCCTAACCTGGCGGTAGCTGAATTTGTAAAGACCCCACAACTGTAATATTGGTTTAAATCCAGTCTATTTAATAATTGTGGTGTGGGTTTTTTTCAGCGACAGAATAAAATCTATATATTTTTTTCATTCTAGACTATGCTATTAATTGCTGCTATTTTTGAAGAAGGAAATGCATTGTGTTCAAAGTAACAAATCATCTTTATGCTGTTGAGTTTAAATATGGAATATTATTTCTCAAGTCCCAGTCCTCTACCACATATATTAATTTAATCTCTCTTGTTATCAGCCAGCTCTAGGTAGGTAGCTAGTCTGCAGTACTGCTTTTAGAAATTTGGAGTCTGTGAAATAATAGCAAGGAGTCTGTGGGAAGTAGCTAAAAGAAGCAAGTCTGGTTTTGTTAGAAATAAATTTTCTGTATGGCTGCAGACCACTAAAGGGATTTCCAAGTTGAAAAGCTTGAAAATCCCTGGTTAAGGGTTTAGACATTTAAGTTAAATAAATCACAAGAGTATTCAGCACATCATTTTTGAATTATGAAGCACACATTATATTGGGTTGTACTTCATGAGTGGTACTGCGTTTAGAGTCTCTCAGGAATAAACAAAAATTGTCCTGAAACAAGCTCTGTTTGGGCGACATGAAAGCATTACAATGCAGCAGAATCTAGACAAAATATAATTATCAGACTATTGTCAGTATTAATTTGATTTTTCAAAACGATCAAGCATATTTTAAAACCAATTTCAAGACAATTTGATACTATCTTAAAAATGTCAAAAATCATCTGAAAAGCATAAATTTAGTTACTAAGCAGTTTACCATACAGTATTTACATAGATGACTAGATTTTCCTCTGTTGAGTAACCCTGCTCATTCAGTAAAACTATTCATAGAAGCTAAGATTATTTCTTTGCATAGTTTAGAAAGATCAAGTCATTAGCTGCTTCTGTTATAGTTACCTTTCTTTGTACATGTATCAGCATTGTAGAACTATAAAGCAGTGTGTTTTAGTTTGTTTTGTTCCCCAAAATGTATTGCACTTATAGGCAAAGACTAAACTTAAGTGTTTAAATCGGTAACACATATGATCTCTAAAATTCCGGTATTGTGAAAGTTTGTCAGTGTCTGATGACAAGAAGATTTAGCACTATAAAATAGTTGAAGATGTTCTAGTGTTAATGAAGGGGCCTTCTTCTAGCCAGCTCCTTGGGTAGGCCTTCTTTAAAGAGGCATAGTCAAACCACTTAGAGCTAGGAGATTAACTCCCAGCCAAGGTCAATGTAGCAAGGGATATACAGTCTCCTGAGATCTGATTAAGTACCACTGAGCTTATTTAGGCATGAGTGTTTTATAGAAAAACTGTGCTGTACCCATGAAACAGAAAAATGATGTGAGGAATGGGCTGAATTGCAAGATATGTCCTGCGTAGCATTTGAATGCTTCTGAATTTTGGAAGGCCTGAGCTCTGTAAATGGAACAGAGCTGGAATTTGTAGCAAACGCGCGGCTTTGAAACAGGCACTTTGAAAATATGCTCAGAATTAGGCGAACGTTTGAATGTGCTTGTATCTGAAATCTGAAACAGCAATGCTCAAGTGGAAAGAGATGATAGCCTTCATTCAGATTTTCTCTGGCTTCTGTTAGTGACTACTCATTTAAATAATTTTTATTAATTTGTGGGAAGCTTTTGTGACTGTGAAAGAGACTCTTCTGAGATCATAGTGCTCTGTCATGTACTAGCTAGGCATGGTGATGATAGAATTTTAAGGCTACAAATAATACTGAATGTCGTATTTTGACGTTCAAGTTTTGTCAGATAAAAGTGATTTCAATAATAGTTTCATAACATATATTTCTATAACGCCTTCCATTTCAACATGAAGATGCAGTTCCATGTACTACTTCTTTCCCTCCTTTCTTCTGTGGCAATGGTAACTAATGGACTTGATACTTGCCTTTGGTACTGGCTGTACAGCGACAGTTTTTAGGTCCACGGTGTAAATGGGCCCTACAACAACAGCTGATCTGTGATGAGAATAGGCCCTTCTGTTGTGGGTTCTGCTTAGCTGCTTGTGCGCCACCAGGGCCAAACGCGACGAGCTGAACGGGGAATTGATCCTCGTTTCCAGCAGAACTGAAGGGTCCAAGAACGTCTTAATTTAGCACTGCTGCTGAGACAATCCTGAGGGGACTCATGGTCTAAGAATACCACACGCACGCATTTGACTTCCTATAATCTGAGATGTTCCTTGGGTATAATAGACATATGTTACAATTCACTTAAGTTTTAATGACTTAACTGGTTCATAATCCAGTATAAAACAGTTAAACTGAGAAGGTTCAGAATCATCTGAGGAAGATGATATCCTGTTACTCCCCTACTGTTAGTGTGTGACATTAATGTTATCAGTAGACCATAAGGTAAAGGGAAAATAATTATTAAAAAGATGAAATAATCTCAAAGTACAGAATTGTACTAGGTGTCTTCTGGCATTGGACAAATCTGGAGAAATTTTTCAATGTTTATTCATTTTGAATATATGAAATTGAGCAAGATTTCTGTGCCTACATTAGTTTTTAATTCAGTGGTATACA